ACAGTAAGATTCTAGACACCCCCCCCACCCAGCCACCGCCCCCGTGCCTGCCCCTCCTCCCTGCTCTGCCCAAAACTACGAAATCAGAGGGTCTTTAAAAGAGGCCAAGCTTTGTTGGGGTGGGTATTAAGGTTGAACAGAGGTCTACCCCTGGAATGCCTGTTAGCTGCAAACGGGCTCTGATGAACCTTCCCTTTTCAGACTCCCTGTCAGCTCAATGAATTGTTTTGTGCTCAGTCGTAACTGACTCTTTGCGACGCCATGGACTGTAACTCACTCTTTGCGACCCCATGGACAGTAACCCGCCAGGCTCCTCCATCCTTGGGATTCTTCAAGCAAGAATACTGGAGTGGGTTGCCATTTCCTCCTCCAGGGGATCTTCCCGACCCAGGGATCAAACCGACATCTCTTATGTCTCCTGCATTGGCAGGCGGATCCTTTACCACTGAGCCACCTGGGAATCCCAGTGAATATCTTTAATTCTGAATCCAGTGGAAGGGAAGAAAATTATCCCTATTGAAAGTTCACATCCTGTTTTCTTTCTAATTTTCATAAAAACCTGGGATGGACAAGTGGTCGTTTTTCTAGGAAGGCTCAGGATAGGAAGTGAACCTCGGAGGAGATTAAGATTGGTGCCTTTTGTGGGGTAAGATGTGGCTGACCAGGTAGTGCGGTAACAGGACCAGTTGATACCTTCAAGGCTCAACAAACATTCATTGAAGACCTACAATGTAAAAATCGAGAAAGAGATCATGAGCCAATGAAAGACCTTGAACTTTCTGTAACTTGGTGTGAGCCATTCTTGAGCCCTGCCATGCTGGTCCCACCAGCCCTTGATGTTTGGGGATATTGAGTCTACCATCAAAAACAGTGAGAGTCCTTGTGAGATCAGGGCCCCATTCACACTTCTTCACATGGGCTGCAATGAAGAAAACAGTTTGAAATCTCAGACTTAGGTTTTTTTCAACTTGAGAATATGTTGTCAATTTGATGCTCTTACCACTTCATTCAGCTTGTGAGAATCGTTTGACAATCTTAGGACATGGAAGCTGAAAACACTTTTGGTTCAAGAGCTTAAACTCCAGACGGGTTCCCCTAAAACTGTTGGCAGATTGGAACTTGGACACTTTGGTAGGGCCTTTGCAGGGTTTTAAGGATTTTGTGCACCTTGTCAACATTATGGGCTCCATGATTCTGCTTGCAGGCTGAGCCATTATCTTGCCTCTTAACAAAGTTTAAAAAAATGTGGGTTGCACATTCAAGTGACCTCGTTCCAGGTGGCATGCAGGCTTATTTTGGAATCTTTCATCATCTGGCCGTCCCCAAGGACCAGAGCTTGTCTCTAGACAAGGTTGCCTAGCTAAGGAGGTACATGGCCCGGAGGAGTTTGCAGCTTTGGGCTGGATGTTCAGCGCTCCCATCTTGCATAAAAGAGCTTGTCTTAACCATGCATAGCAGGCTACCCACTTGTGAGCCTATGGCTTAGTTTCAGAAGCCCATGTGGATGGGAGCCACTTGTTTGCCTTTCTGTACAGCCTTAACTTTTCAAGGCATCGGCCAGCCATGTGCCTGTAGTCACTCCTTGGAGCAGTTGTGGAAAGAGAAGACAGCCCTCGGGCACATAGACATTCACAGGAACGCGGGGTCTTTTCTGAAGACAGAGGCTCGAGCCTTGTCCACAAGGAGCCTTGCTTATCTTCCCTTATTTTGCCTTGAGATTACTTTCTGACTGTGCTAATCTCTGAACCATCACCGTGTGATGTGATGTAAAGGCCTGGACATCAGTGTTGTTCCAAGTTGTTCAGCAGCGTCCTTCCCCCAGTTTCCCCAGATGTGCTTTTCTGTTTTCCTTCCTCTCCCATGTGGTACATATGCACACGTGTGTCAATACAACTTCAGATTTGTTACAGTGACATGTGATCCATTTCCCTGGCTGAGTGTGGCTCGTGACTCAATCGTGTAAATTGGGCATGGGCTGTCAGGGAGATTGTCTCCCCATGGGAATTCTCCCAGGTGGCAGTGGAATTGTGCCCACGCTGCATGCTCGTAATTGAGCTGCCATCTTTATAGTGGGGAGCGGTGTGTCAGGGGCCTTTGGCAGACCAGAGAAGTCTGGAGAGCTGAAGCCAGTCTTTAGCCGAGCAAAGGGCTGGACCGCGTGGAGGACCCAGGGGGGCTCAGGTGACCGAGATGTGTCCCCTGAGGTTGAGTAACGTGACCTGTGACGGCCCAATAGGCTACTCTCAGGGCCCTGCTTCTCTCTACTCTGCGACACTCATCACAACTTGAATAACGAGTGAAAGAAAGGGCTCTGAGCCACATTCAGCCCCATTAGGTTCTGGTTTAACCTTCGTTACTAAAACCAGACCCAGAGATCCAGTGTCAGCACTTGATTGTGTACACTGCCCCCTCCTTCGTGTTTTCATAAGGGGCCTGTGTCTGGGCTGGACCCAGTTCTCACGTATAGAAGACACCGCTGCAGACCTTAGGACCTACCTGTCCACCTTGCATTCTGTACTAAAGCACTGCCTTCCACGTCCAATTGTATCTGTTATTTTTGGTTTAACGCACACTGATTCATACTAATAAATATTCTAAGTTTTATGAAGTTTGTCTTTTTCTTACTATAATGTTGGGTTGAATAATTGTAATTTTTTAAGTCAGTTGCTGGCAACGGGTGGAGGGGTTGGAAGACCTATGTCTCTAAGCTTCAGTTTCCTCATAGATAAGATGCAGAGTGTAATTTAAGTGCACCCTTACCATTCCAGAATCTCAAAAGCCTCAGAAGGGACTTTTTTCTGAAGTTTGGTACAGACTCCTCTGGCTGTAAAACCAGAGCTGAACAGATGTGATGTTCTTTGTAGTTATTCATCCCATCAAGGAGAGGGGCAATGTCTGCATGTATTGTTGCAGAAATCCTGCCGTTTGCTCATCGGTTGATCCTTGGCTCTGCTGTATGCTCTATGATAGATGCACCAGATTGCTGTCAGAAAACCCAAGCAAGGTTCTGAGTTCCCAAAACCCCTGCCCCCAAGATGTCACGCAACGTACGATATCCACCATATTCGTGAGGAACTGTCCATGGGGGCTCTGGGCAACCAGCGGGGCCATGTGTACACAGACTTTGACACCCGAGGGGTCTCCTGAGTGGGCTGCACAGGTTTCACTCGACAGAGAACACGTCTTTGAGTCCTGGCACAGAGCCGATGCTCATAAACAAGACACTCAAGTATAGTGACCTGCTTTGCCTCAGCTGCTGCACCAGGTGTTTTATATCACATGACCTTCTGTTTTCACAATCCCTTTATCACTAGATACCACGATTGCATCCATTCTACAAATGAGGAAACCGAAGCCCAGGAAGTTAGTAAGTCACATAAAACCATAGACTAGGAAGAACTGTTGTTGTTTAGTCACTAAATTGTGTCTGACTCTTTTGTGACTCCTTGGATGTAGCCCACCAGGCTCCTCTGTCCTTGGGACTTCCTAGGGTAAGAATACTGGAGTGGGCTATCATTTCCTCTCCTGGGGATCTTCCTGGACCAGGGATCAAGCCCACATCTCCTGCATTGGCAGGCGGATTCTTTACCACTGAGCCACCAAGGAAGCCCAGACTAGAAAGAGAGGAGGAGCCAAATGTTAGCTTCTGTTATATGTTTTTCTTTTTCAATTAAGATTTTAAAAAAACTTTTAAAATGGAGATATAATTAATACATATTAGTTTCAAATGTACGACATAATGATTCTATATTTGTGTATCTTGTGAAATGATCACCATGTAAGTCTAATTAACATCTGTCACCACACATAGTTACAAATTTCTTTTTCTTGTGATGAGAACTTTTAAGATCTCCTCTCAGCAATGTTCAAACATGCAGTGTGGTATTATTAATGATTAATTACATATTAATATATTGATCAATTATAGCTACCATGCTCCTGGGGGATTTCAGCCTAAGGAACACGGTTTTACTCTGGTGACAGCTCTGTCTTCCGATTCCTGCCCTTTTTCCCATAATATGTGGGTATACAGGGCTGTGCGAACTGTGGCTGGTTGTGGGTACACAGGGCTGTATGGACTTGCTGTTCCTGAGCCCCCTGCCTCCTGCTGGTTCCCAGGTGAGGCGGTTGGTCTGGCCTGGTCCTGGAACTGGGAACGGTTAAGGATGAAGAAGGCTGGCTGGGGTTGGGGCCCACTGGTCAAGCCTGTGCCTCTGGTCCTTGCCTCTTGCCGCAAATCCCCCTGCACTGTGGCTTCTTTGTTCTTCTTGAGCTTCTCCTGTTTAGAAGAGAAGCTCAAGTCTTAGAACATCACAGCCCCACTTGGAATGTGAGGACCTCTCTGGCCCAGCAATCTGCCCATCGCCCCTGCTGCCATGGGCACATGGAGCCCACATGGCTGTGACATTTCCTAGCCTTCCAGGTGGTGCGGGAGGCAGATGCTCCTTTGCTTCCAGCTTTCCTCTGACCACATCCGACCTGGGTCCTTGCTGAAGCTTCTGCCTGGAGAGGGGAGGCCAGGCTTCTCTGTCGCATGGATGGGGGGCCATGTCATCACTACTGCCTCTTCTCAGTTAAGGAACTCCTCCATGTCGTAATCTCCCTTCCCAACATCCAAACCGGACATCTGACCAGCAGGTAGGACTTCACAGAAGAGGGTGATGTAGTTGAGAGGAGACCTTGTTGTTGTTGTTTAGTCATTCAGTTGTGTCAGACTCTTTGACCCCAACTGCAGCACACCAGGCTTCCCTGTCCTTCACTATCTCCTGGAATTTATTCAAAGTTATGTCCATTGAATGAGTGATGCCATCCAACCATCTTATCCTTTGTTGCCCTCTTCTCCTTCTGCCTTCAGTCTTTCCCAGATCAGGGTCTTTTCCAATGAGTTGGCTCTTTGCATCAAGTGGCCAAAGTATTGGAGCTTCAGCTTCAGCATCTGTCCTTCCAATGACTATTCAGGGTTGTTTTCCTTTTACATTGACTATTTTGATCTCCTTGCTGTCCCAGAGACTCTCAAGAGTCTTCTCCTGCACCACAGTTTGAGGAGATCACAGAGGAGACCTTAGTAGATGGTTGTGGTGGCCGAGTTATAAAGAGAAGGCTGGGACTGGGGAGTCCTGGAGGAAGGGGATATCAAAGGTGGTTTCAAGTCATCCCCCTGGATGGGGCACTCGGCAGGCAGCCCAGCCCAGTATCAGGAGTGTGGGCTTGGAACCTGCCCCACAGATGAGCTCTGTGACCTTGAGTGGGTCTCATAACTTCTCTAAGGCTGAGTTTTCTCACTTGTAAGGTGGAGATCACAATGGGACTTACCTCAGTGGTTTGTTGTAGGGAATAATGCCTGTGAATTCATTTCGGGGACTGGGCATGGCCCCACACACAGAGCAGCCCCAAAACCCAGAGTGTCATGAAACTCTCAAATGGGACACTTGTGAAAACAGAGAGGGCAGGCCAGCTGTAGGTTCCACCCCAGTACAGGTTGTTACTCGATGTATGAGTTTGGTTGGAGAAGATTGAAGGGGATGGCCTTGCTGGTGCCATGAGGCACCTGTGAAGTAGGGGTGGGTAGAGACCAGGAACTGGAAATGGAAAGTGATGAAGCTGGGGTCCTGGAGGAACTGGAAATGAGGTCAGACAACCAAGCAGAAACAAATGAAGGTGAGTATAAACGTCAGGAGGAGGGAAGGGGGCTGCTTTGGGGACCTGTGTGCTCAGGGGGTCAGCTGCAGTGTCAAGCTAAGCAGAGAAGTTTGTAGTTAAAGGAAAAACAACCTAGGTGAAGATTACATGTAATCACATGCTGCTTGGTCTTGTGTGGAATATGAGTATGCAAATGACTGTATCAGTTAGAAGACTACCTTCATGCGTTCTAAGAAGGAAGCCTGCCCGTCTTCCTTGGAGTAGATGATCAGAATGCTTTTGTTTCTTCTCTGACATTTTTATTTTTTTTACCTTTTTCTTCAGAAAGTCCATTATCACAGGTTATGTCCAGCCATGTGACTCTCCAGGTCCCAGCACACACCCTGGAGGCCTTTGTCCACGAGGTCAACAATGTTCAGCGCACACATGTGGGGGCATCCGAAGCCCTGCAGGCCGTGCACACACTCCCACCTGAGCAGAGTGGTGACACCCCCAGCTCTCCAGCCCAAATTGCCCTGCCCAAGCAAGGGGACTTTCTCAATTCCTCAGCAAAAGCCGTCCCATCCGAGCAGGCTGACACTCCCAGTTTCCCAGAAAAGACCATCCTATCAAAAAAGAGGGAAATTCTCAATTCCCCCCAGAAGAACATCTTGCCCAAGCAGCCTGCCACCCCCAGTTCCTCAACCCAAACCATTTCACCAAAGCAGGGTGACATTCCCAATTTCCCAGAAAAAACCATCCTGCCAAAAGAGGGTGACATTCTCAACCCCCCCAGTAAAACCACCCTGCACAAGCAGGCCAACACCCCCAATTCTTCAGAAAAACCCACCTCACCCAAGCAGGGTGACACCTCCAAGCCCTCAGCCAAAACCATTTTGCCCAAGAAGGCTGACGCCCCCATCTTCCCAATCCAAACCATTCTGCCCAATCAGTCTCATGCCTCCAAATTCTCAGAAAAAACCATCTCGACAAAAGAGGGTGACATTTTCAACTCCTCAGCCAAAGTCATTCCATCATGGCCGGCTGACTCCCCCAATTTCCCAGCCAAGATCAATCCATCATGGCAGGCTGACTCCCCCAAGTTCCCAATCAAGATCATCTCACCTAAACAGACTGACTCCCCTAACTCCCCAAACCAAATCCTCTCACCCAAGCAGACCGATTCCCCTAATTTCCCAGACAAAATCATTTCATCACGGCAGGCTGACTCCCCCAAGTTCCCACTCAAAACCACGCTGCTCAATCAGGTGGGCATCCCCACTTCTTCAGAAAAAAGCATCTCACCCAAGCAGGGCAATACCCCCAATTTTCCAGCAAAATTCAGTTTGCCCAAGAAGAGTAAAACCCACAAGTTTACAACCAAAGCCATTCTGTCCAAGCAGGGTGACACCCCAAAATCCTCAGACAAAACCATCCTGCTCAAGGAGAGTGAGACCCCCAAGTCCTCAGCCGAACCCATTCTGCCCAAGGAGGGTGAGACCCCCAAGTCCTCAGCCGAACCCATTCTGCCCAAGGCGGGTGAGATCCCTGAGTCCTCAGCTGAAACCATTCTGCCCAAGGAGGGTGAGACCCCCAAGTCCTCAGCCGAAACCATTCTGCCCAAGGAGGGTGAGACCCCCAAGTCCTCAACTGAAACCATTCTGCCCAAGGAGGGTGAGACCACCAGGTCCTTAGAGGACACGGTCCGGCCCCCAGGAGGCAATAGCCTGCAGTCAGAGGAAGATGCAGAGTTCCTGGATGAGGACCTGGTGAAGGTGATCCTGAGCAAAGAAGACTTTGAGGTGGCGCTAAAGGAAGCTGGGGAGCGGCTGGTGGCCGTGGACTTCTCGGCCACGTGGTGCCAGCCCTGCAAGACCATCAAGTCCTTCTTCCAGACCCTGTCCCTGAAGTATGAGGATGTGGTGTTTCTGGAAGTGGATGCTGACGAGTGCGAACAACTGGTGAGAGAGTGCAAGGTCGATTGCGTTCCAACCTTTCAGTTTTATAGAAAAGAAGAAAAGGTGGGCCAGTTTTCTGGTGCCCTGCACGAAAAACTTGAGACACTCATTACAGAATTAAAGTGATCATGTGTTCCAAAAGCATTAGAAATAGTTGGCTATTCATAGCTTCTGATCTTATTTATGAAAAAAAATGAGGGGTGACGAAAGTGTGTGTTCGAGTGGCACCTGCTTGTAAATCAGAAACATTAATTCTACCCTTTCTGAAAAGCCCTAATGTCTGTTGTGCCCATGTTCTTGTTGATGGAATGGGTGTGAAATTATAATATCATTTCCTCTGATGTACATGGGAAGTCCAGCTGTCCTACTTCCCCCCACCTTTTTTTTTTTTTTTTTTTGGCCGTACTGCATGGCATGTGGAATCTTAGTTCCCCAATGAAGGATTAAACCTGTACCCCTTGGACTGGAAACCCAAAGTCTTAACTGCTGGACCATCAAGGAAGTCCCTGTCCCCTATTTTTTTAATCTTGATTTTTTTTTTTTTCACTCACTCTTGAAAAATTTTTTTCACTCACTTATGTAGTCCTAGTGGCAACATTGGAAATTTAGATAATTCTTTTGTTGTTGTTGTTCAGTAGCTAAGTTGTGTCCAACTCTGCCACCCTATGAACTGCAGTATGCCATCCTTCCCTTCCTTCACTATCTTCCAGAGTTTGCTCAAACTTATGTCCATTGAGTTAGTGATGCCATCCAACCATCTTGTCCTCTGTCGCCCCCTTCTTCTCCTGCCCTGATCTTTCCCAGCATCAGGGTCTTTTCAAATGAGTCAAACAGGAGATGGCAAGAGTGAACATCAACATTTTAGGAATCAGTGAACTAAAACGGACAGAAATGGGGTAATTTAATTCAGATGACCACTCTATCTACTACTGTGGGCAAGAATCCCTGAGAAAGAATGGAGTAGCCCTTATAGTCAACAAAAGAGTCCAAAATGCAATTCTTGATTGCAGTCTCAAAAATGACAGTGTTTTTGGTTTGTTTCCAAGGCAAACCATTCAACATCACAGTAATCCAAGTCTATGCCCCAACCTCTAATGCTGAAGAAGCTGAAATTAAATGATTCTATGAAGACCTACAAGACTTCCTAGAACTGACACAAAAAATACTCTTCTGTAGAGGGACATGATTTAATAATGGGTGGGAATTTCTTTTCTGATGTTCATGAACCTTTGGGATTTCTGATAAGATATAAGTAAAGAATTTGAAAGAGTCACGTATCTAACCTCCTTCATGTGTAGGAAGTGCTATGGAGATGTCAGGGAACTTCACAGGCTCTCTAAACCTCTAAAGAGTTCATTGGTGTCAGAGCTGAGATGGAGGACATGGCTCCAGATTTTAAGTTCGGACCTCTTTCTACTGACCCATACTCACACAATCTGAGACAACGCAAAACTTGCAGTTTGCTGCTACCAAAAGCTTTATGATTCAAATTTCAGTTAGTTTGACCCTTGCTGCCATTATGACATCAGCACCCTAGTAGTAAATTCCTGCTTTGTCATTCTGGTAACTGGGTTTCCGACACCTGCTCTCAGGTGTCTCAGAGTATGTGTGTATGTACATATATTCATATGTATGTACTCATATGGGCTTCCCAGGTGGATCAGTGGTAAAGAATCCACCAGCCAATGCAGGAGACACAGGAGATGCAGGTACTGTTCCTGAGTCAGGGAGATCCCCTGGAGGAGGAAATGGCAACCCACTCTAATATTCTTGCCTGGGAAATCTCATGGACAGAGGAACCCAATAGGCTACAGTCCATGGGGTCACAAAGAGTCGGACACGACTGAGCGACTGAACTGAATTAAACTGATACATGTAGTTAAGGGAGGGGTACACAACTCTGGGAAGGCAATTCTGGGGACCTGAGACATGGGGAGCAAATGAGTGGCTCTTGAGGGTCTAGTTTGATCCAGGGAGGAAATCTACACTATAAGAGAATTGGCCCATGCTCCTCAAACCACCTACCTCAGCACCATTCTCTTGACTGGATGATAATCAGACAGTGGCCAGGACAGAGTCACGTTCTCTGTACTCAGAAGACTCAAAAATGGACACTCCATTTTGCTAACTAAGAATCATGTACACTAAAAAAAGAGCCAAGCAGCTGTTGTCACCTCTAATCTTTAGCATGAAGGAGAAATAAGACACACTTCTAATTAGGAGCATGATTCCAGATAATCATCTTGGCTGTGAGTGATGATAAATCTAACCAGAGTCTTTATAAGAATCAATGGAAAACCTGTTTGAGTTGATAAGAGAACTTGACAAAATGGTGGTATTCAGAGAATATCCAGAAGTCAATAGTGTCCTTTTGATTCAGTGATAAGTGATTGGGAATCTTCATAGGAAAATAGTGATGAAAAAATAAAATACCTGGCAACAGTCCTAACTAGAATGGTAAGGATGATTAAGGCTAAATCTATAAGTTTGAAGACATAGTCAACAAGTAGGTCTAAATGAAGTGAGACAAGATATCGATTCTTTCCACTTAATTAGTAGACTATAATTACCAAGCAACATTTCAATAATGAGTCATTGGGAGAACCTGAAAAAATACTTAAAACTCATAGATAGGAACAGACAGGAAAAAGTCTAAAAAGAGAAATAATGAAGAGAAATTTGCCCTATAATTAGTATGCAGTATAATTATATTAATATAATACTAATATACATATAATTAGTATAGTCATTGTGTATAAGTGTGATGATACCAATAGCAGTATTGAGGAAGGAAGAAAAGAGAGCAATGAATCATAATAATAACCAAAAACCAGAATTTGATATGTAAATAGTAATATAGGAAAAAGAAAACATTTCAGTTCAAAGGACCATGACTAGATTATTATATATTTAATTGTATAGCAAAATTCAGATCTTTGGGGAAAAAATCAGTTGACATCCTTATTCCCATGCCAGATACCAAATAAATAAAAATTGGATTAAAAAATTAAAAAATAAAACATGAAATCATTTAAAAATTGAAGATTTAGTTAAATCTTCCACCCATCTGATTCATGTATGGGAAAAGAATTTTTCAAATATAAGTGCAATTAAAGACTTTGAACATGTAAAACATTTAAACATTCCCATGCCAAATTAGAAACACAATAAGAAATAAAAACTGAAAAAATATTTGCCAAATATATGACATAAAATTCAATGTTTTTACTCTACAAAGTACTCCAGCAAATCAGTAAGAAAAATGGAGCACCCCAACAGTAAAGTAAGCCAAAGACACAGTTTATATTAGAGTAAGAACAAATGGGTGATAAACATGGACATTTTTTACTCATAGGAAAATACAAGCAAAAGTCACCAAGACTTTGATAGCACTGGGATGCAGGAAAACAGCCACTCACCAGCTGCTAAGAGTTAAGATTCTGCAAAGCCTTGGGACACAGCAGGATAGCAAAGGTGCAGACCCTTTGTGCACCTGAGCCTGTGCACCCATCTGCTCCAACTGCCATGGCTGCCGGGACACAATCCCACACAGTGTGGGATTAAACAGACACGTCTCTCACAGCCTTGGGGGCTGGAAGTGCGCGGTCAGGGCGTAGTCAGGGTTGGTCTATGCCGAGGCCTCTCCCGGGCTTGAGATTGTTCCTTGTCGCTGTTTCGTCTTCACGCGCAGGCCTGGCATCTGTGTGCCCAAATCTCCTCCTCTTATGACACCAGTCAGATTGGCCTAGGGCCCACCCTAACAGCTTCAGTTTAGTTTAATCAAGTCTTTGAAGAGCTTATCTCCAAACACAGTCGTTTTATGAGGTACGAGGGCTGGGAATTCAATGTGTGGATTTGGGGGAGGACATAATCTAACCCTTAGCAGCTCCAGCTGAGGCTCAGGGTCTGGCCTCTGGGCTGCATCTCAAAAAAATAAAAAAAGGACATTTCCAGGGAGATGTAGGAGCTCACATCTGGACACTCCCAATCAGGGAAGGGGGTGTCCTAAGAAACTCTGCCTCAGGGCCCCATGGAGTCAGCCCAACAGTGCCAGCGGGGGCTTCTCCAAAGGCCTGGGAGGACATGGTGCCAAGTGGTCTGTGGTCCCCCTGGAATGCAGGCCTTGAAGCACAGGCCGAAAGACCATGATGCTGAGGCCACAGGTGCAGTGAGGCCCGTCAGTGTCCATTGCTCCAGACGATTCCCCCACCTTGAGAGAAGCCTCGGGGGCTGGGAGGGCCCATCACCAAGCTCCCATACTGCAGGGCAAAAGGCCTGTGCTGACTTCTTACCCTCAAGCAGGCTGGCCAGGGGGAGGCGGTGTCAGATCCCCTTCTGCTCCCCCTGCAGGAGGGAGGGGAGTGAACTCAGGGTGGTCAGAACCAGGTTAAACCAGCATTTCTCAAACCACCAGTCATAAAACCACATGCAGAGCTGCTAAACACCCAGATGTCCAGGCATCTGTTCTTGAAAAATCAGATCCAGTTATACATCCAATCAGATTTCCCCTGTAACTATAGGCCTTAAAAATAAATAAACTCTATGCTTTATTCAAATGACAAATTATAACACTCAAGTTTCACGAAAGACAGCACATGGAACACAAATCCAGAGAGAGTAGGAAACGTTTATGAGCTAAGCACTCAGAAACATGCAAAGGATACGAACAGGATGAGAGAGTTTGGGGGTCTGCTTTTCAAAGTGATGCTTTAGAAATGCATTTTTCTCCAAGTGTGAACAATTTAATTTCATGATGGGGATCCACACAGAGGTTGAATTCATAGGGGATTCATCCTGTTCCTCAGATGCTTAACATGTCTGTCTCTTTGAGGCAGAAATGTTCAAATGTTTTAAATAAATTATACTCAGTAAATATGTAAAAGATATTGGTAGATTGTCGCTTAGAGAATCCCATTGTGATTTGGGCAGTTTTTTAAGATCTTGCAAAGGAATTATTAAATGGTACATTCTGTGGAGATAGAAGTTAACTAAAAAACAAAATAAACCAAAAAGTACAAGGAGACAGTGGCTGCAAATTCTAAAATAATAGTGGCACTTTAATCAGGAGCTCCTTTAACACCTGTGGTGAAAAGAGTCAGCCATGGCAACGATGATGAATATAAGGATCAGTGTAGCAAGGAGCC